GCTCTAAGTATTAGAACTCAATTCAGATTTGTAAGCATAAGAAAACTAACATTATATAATGCAAATTTTATCATTTCTAAAGTAGGAAGCTGCTAGTACCCCAAATACAAATTTTACCTTTAAAATGAAGTACAGCCCTGGCTGGGTGGCTCAGTTGGTTGGAGCATCCTCCTCTACACCAAAATGTTGTGGGTTTGATTCCTAGTCAGGGCACATACCTAGGTTGCTGGGTTTGATCCCCAATTGAGGCGTGTATGGGAGGCAACCAATTGATGTTTCTCTCTCTCCCTTACTCTCTTTGGAATCAATGAACATATCTTCGGTGAGGATTAAAAATAATAATAATAATAAAATAAATAAAATGAAATATATTTTCATATGAAACCCTTAAAAGGAGTTGGCAGAAACAATAAGGAAGAACAACTGGGTCAAGCAGACACGGCTCCTTTGCTAGTACTGCTGCCATTTCTGAAAGACCCCTTCTTCCACATCTCCTCTTTTCTCCTTTATTCCTCCTTTCTTTCTACACTAATGACTTTCCAGGAAGTTGCATTTGAAATCCTTCCCACAGCTATTGACTTCTGAGCCACCCCTTACCTGTGCTCTGCAGGGATCTCATGGCCAGTTCGGTAGATGTGGGACTGTAATGCAGTTCTACTGGCATAGGGACAGCCACATGTGCACTGGAAGGTCTTCCCACAATCCTCTGCGTGTCTTTTCAAGTCCCATTCAGTGCCATATGAATTGCTGCACTTACTACATTTATGCTTCTTTTCGGCGTGCATTTTCATAAAGTGCTAGGAAGAACACAAAGGGACCAGAATGAAAAACTGCAACTGCTCAAGACATTTTAAAAAATCATCAACATACCCAAATTAACAATGATTTTACATGATAAAACAGAGCAGCCCAAATCAAAAGAATGTAAAAGCAGGCAGTTTAGCATAAGCCTCTTTTCCCTATCACTTCTGAAAAGTGTGATACAGTTTGTGAAAAGTGTGGAGACAGTTTTGGAAACAATCCATAGTACCCAGCCTTTAGGTTCTGATCTATAAATAAGTGCTGCAGACAGAAGAAAAAGTCTTTGCAATGCTTTCCATAGGACCCCCTCCAGCAAATACTCAGGGATGTATTTCAACTGCCAATTTCTAGTCCTGAATCATCCCTTTCCCCAGTTGTTGGGCCCCTCCCTCCTAAGATAGCTGCTTGTGAAATTCTGCAGTTTCTTAATCCTTTGAGAGAACTTTTCCTTTGTGCCTTTGCTTGTCTGACCTTGGAGGCATACAGATTTACACAAGAGAAATGAAGTACACACGTTCTCATTCTTTGAATTGGTCGTTTTCCCTTTCTCTCTGAATCCACTTCCGGGCCTCTTGGAGACTCTTGGATGGCTATCCTTACAAGCAACTTTCTGTTCAATTCTCTAGTTATATTTGGTAAGTAATTAGAATGCACACTAGGCTTATACCATTTGCAGTTCATCCTCAGAGAAGTATATTTAAGATAAGTAAAATACCTGTTTTACAAGAGAAAATTGAGAAAATGGCCTATCAGGGCCTCTAGGACATCCTTCAATTGGACAACAGTAGAATTTCGGTACGGTTTTCAAATCTTTTCTTATTGTTGGATTTACTATGCCATCCTGAAAAAGAAAAATTACTTTAAATAATTATTTTCAAAAAAATCAATACAACAGGCTGGGAGTAAAAATAAGTGATGACTAAAGATGGGAACAAGGGATCTTATTTGGGAGATGAAAATATTCTAAAATTGAATTGTGGTAATGGTTGCACAATACTAAAATAATTGCTTATTCACTTAAAATGGGTAAATTTTATGGTATATAAACTATAGCTCAAACTACGTTGCTTAAAATTCTATCCATTCTAAACCTACAATTTCTTCCCTGTGTGGACGAAAAGGGGCTCTGTAATAAATCTAACTAACAGTAACTTCACAAGGTGGTCTGATCATAAATTCCTAACTAGGAAGATCAGGATGGGTAGTCATGCTTCAGGTTTATAACTTACCTAGTGAAAGTTTACCTTTGCCTTAAGCAAGCCCTGTCCATGGTTTTTGTGTATCTAGGTTAACATACCTTTGAAATACCTTTTTCATCCCTCAGATATGTAATCTCAAGAAAGCATTTCAACTATCCTGTAATCCTATCATAAAGATTTCCCTGCCTTGCTTTTTCCCATTTTCATGTAATCTTTTTCACTTCCCTTCTTTATTCCAAATGTTTAAAAGAAACTGAAAACTGTCATTCTGGGAAGCATTTTTCTCACTGTTGAGATTTTGCGTCCAGGCATGTCTTCTGTTTGGGGCACATAAACTCTTAAAAAACTCATAAAATTTTTTTTCTGTAAGTTTAGTTAACACCTTAAAGCCACCTTCTCTATTTGCAAGTCGTATATTTACAGTTTATCAGGCTCAAGATTTCTGTATTATCCTTAAGTCTTCCCTTCCTTTCCCTTTTATCCCACACCCAGTGCCTTAGTATGAACTCCTGTAAAAACCTCCATTGACTGGTGTCGGCCTTCCAGATAAATAATACTGTGACTTTCTCTGATTATCACACTGCCCCGAAAGTAGCTAAAGCTAGTTGGTACAACTTTTATATAGCATGCTATGTTTGAAATTGAATAATTATTATAATGGCCAGTACTAACATAGCTTTTACTACTCTGTCAGGCACTGTTCTAAGCACTTTATATATATTAACTCGTAAATAATCTTGTATGTGATTGACTTTTTGGCTAGGAGTTTTCAAAACTAGTTTTCCAGTTCTCGAATGTCTCCCATCTCGAACAATTCGGTTCTTGACCAAGTTGTTCATGAAAAAGATGTCTTAGTTTTAGAACAACCCTTTCATACTGATACCTGTTAGATCAGTCATGGGTCTCTCAGGTGAGAAACAAAGGAGAGAATGCAAGAGTATGAGTCAGTTTATTGCTAAACCTCAAGTTGTTAACATCTCAGGAAATTGTGATGAGAGCATTTGCTAATGGGAAAACATGATTCGGTTTTCAAACAAATAGCTTCTCGAACAGCCTTTGGGAACGAGTTAAGTTCAAGAACCTATGTTCCACTGTAACTGGTAAGTTAATTTAGCTTGAAGCGCTCTTTCTTGTTGCCCTTGATGACATAGTTTGTTGACATACCTTAGGTGTGAGACCCCTGATTACCTGCAGTATAATTCTTGTCTAATTTCCTTCCAGGTGGCCCTAAAAGAAAGTGTTGGACCTCTCTACAGGTTACTGGAAACAATAGGACATGTGCTCAGGCCTCAGCTGCTACTGCATGCAGCACCTTAGATGTTCTGGTCCTCTAGTGTTCTGATGAGAAAGGATTCATTACTTCTGGAACATACCTACCTCCTTCTTTCCCTTCAGTGTGTACCAAAGAAGGGAGAAATTAATAACTGCCTGGCTAGGACTCTGTCCCTTTGCTTTCTCACTGGATCTCAAGCAGAACATGTTGATCTTGTTGCATCTGAGTCCATTCATTTAGAGGGGAGAAGAAGCCATTCTTGTTTTAAACAACATAATTTACCTTTTAATGATATTATATTCAGTCAGTTATTCCTCTATGTCTTCCACACAGGTCCTTTTATAATCCTACTGCAGTACACTGTCTAGATATTCATAAGCATCTGGAATATTTAAATGGTCTCCTAAATAATTTTACTTCCTATTCTAATGTTATAACAAATTTGACATTCCAAAAAATTATATGTATATATCACCTAATGCTCTTTTTTTTTTACTCCTCATCTGAGGATATATTTCCACTGATTTTAGAGAAAGAGAGGGAGAGATGAACATCAATTTATTGCCTCTTGCAAGAGTCCCAACTGGGGATTGAACCTGAAACCTGGGCATGTGCCCTGACTGGGAATTGAACTCATGACCCTTTGGTGCACGGGATGAAGCTCCAACCAACTGAGCCACACCGGCCAGGGCTCACCTAATGCTCTTTAAAAAAAAGGTATGTAAAATAAATCCCAACTCACTATGCCTTCAGTCTATCATTATAACTGTATCTTTTGCTGTTCCCTTTTCATACACTACCCTACTCAGCCTAACATTCTTCCCACTCCCAATTCCACCTTCTATATGCATTCTTGGAAGACTGTCCTTTAAAAAGCCTAGTTTGTCCCACATCCTCCTGTCTCCCTTCAGGCAAAATGCAATGGTGGAAACAGCGCTGTGGCTGTAAGCCATTTCTACTATGGATTTGTGGTATGGCCGTGGACAGGGTCTCTAACCTCTCTGAGCCAGTTTACTCATTTCTAGAACAAAATAGTTAATTCTCAGGATTATCTTGAATTGGATTAGCATAGTGCCTAGCCCAGATCACATTCTCAATACACAGCACTTCCTTGTTCTGCTCACCACCCAGATCTAAAGATCTAGTCCTTGAATGAATTCCAAGATAGTAACTAACTTAAGCTATCTTAAATACTATCATTTTCTTCTAGAGTTCTAGTCTTCCCAACTAAATTTCTTAGGAGCATAAACTATTTTATATACCTCTTGGTATTGCCTTCATGCTTAAAGAAGAGAGCAATTGCATGCTAAAAGCAAAGCATTTTTAGAAAGGCAGTCCAGTGTAGAGCAGTGGTCTCAACCCTGGCCTGTAAAAAGTCAATCACTTGAGGCACTTAAAAAAACACTCATGCCTGGTCCCAACTTCAGGTTATTCTGATATAATTAGATTTGGTTGGGGATTGGGGATCTATATTTGATCTTAAAATCTCCCCAGATGATCCTAATGAATAGCCTTAGCTTAAGAACCACTGATATGCCGGGCTGCCATGACTCAGTGGTTAGGCATCAACCCATGAACCAGGAAGTCACAGTTAGATTCCAGTCAGGGCACATGTACAGGTTTCTGGCTCCATCCCCAGTAGGGGGCTTACAGGAGTCAAGAAAAAAAGGAAGACGACAAACCACTGGTGTAGTGGTTAAACCCATGGGCTCTAGAATATGAACTGCCAGAGTTTGAATTTTCTACCTTGCCACTTTCCTGCAACCTTGAAAAAATTAACTGTTTTGGTTTCTTTACCTGCAAAGTAGGTATAATAACAGAACCTACTTCAGGGCTGTAGGGTTGTTGTGAAGATTTAGTTAATGTATAGGGCTTAGAAAAATGCTTATTACATAATTATTCAATTAATTATTATAGCTATTAGATATTTGCTGCAGAGAGTTTTGTTTCTTTTACTGCTTTTTGCCAACCAACTTAATGCCAATAAGCTAATTTAAACTAGTGCTTTAACTTAAATACTGTCCTTTTAAAAGCCTACTGAGCCCTAGCCAGTTTGGCTTAGTGGTCAGAGTGTTGGTCCTTGGACTGAAGGGTCCCAGGTTCAATTCTGGCCAAGGGGACACATACATCAGTTGCAGGCTCAATCCCCAGCCCCGGTTGGGGCTCATGCGGGAAACAACCAATCAATGTATTGTCTCTGTCATATTGATGTTTCTCTCTCTCCCTCTGTCCCTTCCACTCTCTCTGAAAAAGCAATGGAAAAAATATCCTCAGGTGAGGATTAAAAAAATAAAAGCCTTCTGAAATGTTTGTTAAACTGGCATCTGCTGGCGTTAACAACTGACACTGTCTCTCATTACCAAACTCATCCCATTCACCAACTCATCCAGTGCTTTTTAATGAAGTAAGTTTAATTAACTTCTATATTTTCTATCTACTGTTATCAGTGAGAGAAAATGAAATGTGGGGAGAATATTAAGAAAGACTCTAAAATCCTTCCTTCACTTGAGCATTATCAAATTCTTCTTAGTTATACGCCAGGGAGATGGCCCCCTTCTATGTTCTACGCTGTCAACGGTTCCATGAAACTCTTCCTACAGGGGCACTACAAAATTCATGCTCACTTCTAGTACATCCTCAATTCTACTTAGAAATCTTTTTATTATCCTGTTTCAGACTCCCTATCATGTTCTCATATACCTGTTCACTTTTAAAATATTAATAAACTTTATTATTTTGGGGGGAAGTTTTAGGTTCACAGCAAAATTGGGTGAAAAGTACAGAGTTCCCATATACCCCGTCCCCAAACAGTACAGCCTGTTCCACTAACAACTACTAGAGTGATACATTTGTTACAATTGATGAACCTTTACTGGCACATCACTATCACCCAAAATCCATAGTTTATATTATAGTTCACTCTTGGTGCTGTACATTCTATAGGTTTTGACAAATATATAATGACATGTACCCACATTATAGTATCATACAAAATACTTTCACTGCCCTAAAAATCCTGTGTCTGCTCATTTTTTAAAATTTTAATCCTCATCTAAGGATATTTTTTCCATTGCTTTTCAGAGAGTGGAAGGGTGGGAGGG